CTGATGGTACAGGTCACAATCTGGTTATATGTCTGTCTTGCCTTTCCTCTGAGTGTAGTGAGCCGGTCAGACCCTCTGGTTACACCCAGGTGCCTCATTCTCGCCAGGCCATAATAATCTTGTCTCCTTACTGATTTCATTGCTTGTTCCCATAGGGCCTTGACCACATCTGCCTTGTCATGTATCATTTCAACACCCAGTGGTGCAGATCCATCTAATCTGTCTGCCTGTTCATTACCCACTACGCTGGCAAAGCCTGGAGAAAAGATCTAATGTATGGTCACCACCCGTGACCTTCCCAGTGAACCTTGCCATTCTACTTGAAGCATCCCTGTCTTCACAGTTAGACAATGGCTAGATGTAGGTCTGTCAATCATGAGGCCTCATGTTTGAAATCACATGTGGGTAGACTTTAAAAAAATAAGGGCCTTTACTTTCTGGCTAACCAAGCCTAAAATATGTAAAGTAAAGGACTCTTTTCCAGGCCTTTAGGGGTACTGGGCATTCAGGGCTAGGCCTATATTTTATAGATCAGTCGGCACTCAGTGGATGATGTGGTCAGTATCACACCGCCCACTTTTACTTCCAACTTTTACCTGGTAGCCATTTAAGGCTAGGTCGACCTGGGAATCCAGGCAATTTCTGAAAAAAGTCCAGCACCTAAACTGAGTCTCAGGTAAAAAGTTCAGCACCTAAACTGAGTCTCAGGTAAAAAGTTCAGCCCCTAAACTGAGTCTCAGGTAAAAAGTTCAGCACCTAAACTGAGTCTCAGGTAAAAAGTTCAGCCCCTAAACTGAGTCTCAGGTAAAAAGTTCAGCACCTAAACTGAGTCTCAGGTAAAAAGTTCAGCCCTTAAACTGAGTCTCAGGTAAAATCCTGGGAAGCAAAGGCAGCAGATATGATGTTGACCCATCAAGTACCAACTTGTGTCAACAATATGGGTCTTTAGCATAGCATGTCAGATGCCCCTATGGCCTGAGAAGGGTCCTTCCCATAAACTTATATAGAAATTTTAAAAAAAAAAACTGGGCCATCCTGCTCAGTGGAGGTTTGCCACACTGTATGCACCGCTAATCATGGAAATGATCTCTGTGGGGTTTGGGGCTCCCCATGAAAAGAAAAAAAGAATAGTCCCACTGCCCCTCCCCCAAAGAAGTGCAGTGTTAAGAGCTTCCTAATTTGGGTGGTTTCCTTTGAAGTTTGGCTGCATTTGCCTAAGAGGCAAAGAACCAACAGTCTGCATATAAATAAACCTGATCCGTATTAAGGATGTACACATCAAATACCAGTTCTGGAACAAGACTACAGTGCAAAAGTGGCCGAACAACCATAACTTTCCGCCAGAGTTTACAGCCAGCAAACCTGAAGAAGAGAAGAAGAAGAAAAGAAGAAGAAAAAGAAGAAGAAGAAGAAGAAAAAGAAGAAAAACCACAGAATTATTACACGATGAAGCCCCAATCTCTTCTTCTTGTACCACATGTGTAACCAGGAGGATGGTCTTTTTCTAACCCACCCACATTTGAAACTAAACTCTAGTAAATATAACAGACTGCATTCTGAAACCATTTCACTAGCATTACCAAGCCAGAGAGAGACACAGAGAGAGAGAGAGAGAGAGAGAGAGACAGACAGATAAAGAGAGACACAGAGAGAGAGAGAGAGAGAGACAGACAGATAGAGAGAGACACACAGAGAGAGAGAGAGAGAGAGAGAGAGAGAGAGAGAGGAGAGAGAGAGAGACAGACAGAGAGAGACAGAGAGAGAGACAGAGAGAGAGAGAGACAGAGAGAGAGAGAGAGAGAGAGAGAGACAGAGAGATAGAGAGAGACAGACAGAGAGAGAGACACAGAGAGAGAGAGAGAGGGGGAGAGAGAGAGAAAGAGAAAGACAGCCAAACTAAATTCACAATTAGGATTAATAAATAAATAAAAGGAAAAGGAATATAAAGATTTCAAATGTAATGAGTCCCTCCACCGAGGAATTTACCTCCAAGTTGATTTTGTGGTTTGTGATTGGCTGGAAATAGTTTCAAGATTAAATATCAAGGTTACTGTTAAATTCACTGAATAAGGCTTTCGGCTTGTGGAAGCAGACTGGTATAGAAGTGATAAGGCGAGAATGGTTTACACATGATAAGGTAAGAATAGAGATATATTCAAAAATGAGTAATGTGTGGTATTCTCCCCTTCTTTTTTTTTAAGAAAAAAAAAAACACCCACTTTTCCGTAATGTATACACAGATGTTTCTACTGTTCAAACGTGTAGACAAAGAAGAAGAAGAAAAAAAGAAAGAAGCAAAAAAAAAAAAAGAAAGAAAGAAAGAAAGAAAGAAAGAAAGAAAGAAAGAAAGAAAGAAAGAAAGAAAGAAAGAAAGAAAGAAAGAAAAGAAAGAAAGAAAGAAAGAAAAGAAAGAAAGAAAGGTGAAGGAGGATGAGCAGCAGGAAGATGAGGAGGAAACCAAAGCAGCAGCAGAAGAAGAAAGAGAAGAAGAAGAGGAAAAGGAAGAGGAGGAAGAGGAGCAGGAGGAGGAGCAGGAGGAGGGGGACGGGGAGCAGGAGGAGGAAGAAGAAGAAGAAGAAGAAGAGGAAGAAGAAGAAAAAGAAGAAGAAAAAGAAGAAGAAGAAGAAAAAGAAGAAGAAGACGAAGATGAAGACGAAGACGAAGAAGAAGAAGAAGAAGAAGAAGAAGAAGAAGAAGAAGAAGAAGAAGAAGAAGAAGAAGAAGAAGAAGAAGAAGAAGAAGAAGAAGAAGAAGAAGAAGAAGAAGAAGACTAAGAAGAAGAAGAAGAAGAAGAAGAAGGAGAAGAAGAAGAAAAAGAAGAAGTAGAAGAAGAGACAAAGAAGAAGTAGAAGAAAAAGAACTTAGATTAAGAGCCACCCACCTGTGTCTGAGAGGTCATCCTCTGTGCTCTTGGTCAGTGGCATGGTCACGGAGGAGGTCTTAGTGGTGGTGTCCATGCTGTCCACAGTAATCTTCTTCTCACGGTTGTCTTTGAGGTTGTTCTGGCTGAGGTTGATGTCCACTCGACTGCTCGCGCTGAAATTGATGCTGTTGGTTAGATAAATTCTGGCTGTCATCAAAGTTTAAGGGGGCTCGGGATGGACAGGAGGCATAAGCACCTACTTCTGCATGATCATGCAGGAATGCTCAAGTTGTGATCCTGAGCATGCAAAATAGGTCCTGCACCTTATTTCTAACTAGCGACTCCCCAGAGTCAGCACAAACTGGCAACATAAATCTTTTTTAAGGTAAAAATAACATCATTTTTTAGGGGATAAAACAATTTCCATTCATAAATTAACTATTAAAGATTCTGCCAACTTCCTAAGGAAGGTTAACTGTAATGTATTTACTGCTGTCTATTGGAATAATGTGCCATGAGGCCCAAATCTCTTCCATGGTGCGACTCTCCTACCACTAACCCTCATAACACTACCTGCAAGCCATGAGAACAGTCTTTTTCTAAACCATCCACTGAGGGGGAAAAAATCCTAGTAAAAATCAAGTACTGCATTGTGAAACCAGTGCACTTACCTCTCAGCCACACATCTACCAATAATAACTCCATGAAAAAACGTATAAACAACATATATATAGGATATATATATATATATATATATATATATATATATATATATATATATATATATATATATATATATATAGATATATATATATATAAAGTTAGTTGCATATCCTTAACAAATGCTACATGCCTAGCCTGAACTACCTTATGTTTCTAGGCATCCTAAGATGAGGCTAGTATCTTCCCAAATATGCTCTTCCAATCTAGATGATTTAAAAAAAAAATCTAAATAACATGGCTGGCTAAGGTATCCATCACATTCGTTGGTTCTGTTCACGTTTCCAGGTCCCCAGGATTAAAGTAACTTCCCTTGCCATATTTGCCTGGACCTCTCCTATCTTGCAGGGATATTATGATATGGCTTGGTTTGGCATACGCTCAGCATATGTAATGTTTGTGGCAGGTCTATTTCAAGCGCTGCAGGTACCTGTGTCCAAGCAAGAAGTACTGCAGGGGAGCGCTGCTGTTGCAACAATTCTTGTCTATAGAAACTGAGATGTTTTTGTGTGTCTACATTTGTTGGGCAGTGTTCCCCCCCCCCCCCCCCCACCCTCTTTACGCATCTTTCTGAGAGAAAAAAGCAGTTACAAGGAGCGTAGGAATAGAAAAGAATCACTGTTTCTCAGAATGTAAATATAATCATGCAAGCGAGCCGTAAAAAGACGAGAGAAAAGAGACAAGGGTTAAACTATTCACAATAAGGAAAACATGACTCCCCTGCAACATAGGAGAAGTCTAGCGACCTAAGGAGGCATGAATGGCAAGGGAAGTTGCACTAATCTCAGGCTTGGAAACATAAACAGCACCCATTTGTCTCAGAAACTGCATCATTAACAGATCCAAACTCTTCCTAGTTTTTCTTGGACACTGCCAGGTTCCTGCCAGGCACCTGGTTCAAGACAACAGTTCAGCACTAGATCTAATTTCTTCATCATCATCATCATCATGTAGCAGAAACTTTTCAGAATAATGCTCTCATCATAGACCGCTTGGAAGAAACTCAGTCTCTGGCCAGCTCTCCCACCTCGTATATTTTCATATTCAGGAAATCACTTATATCCTGTGCCCATCCTCGTGTTGGTGCCATTAATTTTTTTTTCTTATCTGCCATGGCACTTGATATTACAAAAATATTTCAGCTGTTTATTAGCCAGTAGATCTAATTTACTTTTTCTTCTTCTTTGGCATTCCGAGCCATTGAGGTTTACTGCTGCAGATATCACCCACCTCCATTCATCTATCTGGTTGGTCTTCTCTTCTCAGTAAGTGACACCAAGTGTTTGCAGGTCTGTCTGGACATTATCTCTCCGTCTCCATCCTAAAACTCTATCTCATCATGAAACAGATCTAATTTACTCCTACATAAAATAAGCAACACTATTTTAAGCAAGTGGATTAATTAAGAAAAACTTACTAATTAAAGTTTGCAGTTTTATTCTCTTCATTATTCTGTGGCGAAGGGGGGCAGATGTTTACAAGTGGTGGTCTCCCTTGAACCGCAAACTGTTCTGAGATTTCTTTCTCAAGTTCTTCACGTCGCTGAAGACAAATAAATTTACAAGTTCATAATAAATGTTACCACTAAGCACTTAAGTCATACAGAAAAAAAAAAAAAAAAATCTGTGCACGCGCGCGCACGCACGCACGCATGCACGCACACACACACACTCTTATAATTTTTGACATCAGGGTCCCAATGTCGGAAACAATTTTGTTTGGCTTTAAAGCCCCACCGTGGCTGTTGCTAAAATAACCCAACCTATGAGTTGTACAGGGTTTCTGGGACCTGTATATATTTGTATAGACCAATCAGCACTCGGTGGGTGTTGTCGTCAGCATCACGCTGATTCCAACTCTAATTTGATAACCAAAAATTCCAAGCTTAGTCTTCTTTCGGGCTACTATATTGAGGACTGATTCTTTGCTATCTGAGCTTGATTTTTCAATCTGTGTGGCGATCAATTTCACCAGACTTTGGTTATTTGTAACATGTCTGGCGTGGCGGCTTTTGGCTGGGCTGTTTTTCTGGCATTTGGAAGGCAAAGTCTGCTAGTCCTTTTCAGGACTAGCAGAATGCCTGGGCCCAGGATTTTACCAGGTACCCATTTAAGGTTAGGTCGACCTGGCAGCCAAGGTCATTTAAAAAAAAAAAAAAGGCTCCATTTGGATTTGCATCCAAGATCTTTGGATTGGCAGGTGAGCACCGAGACGCCAAGCCAAATGAGTGAGAGAGATTCAACCTCGCCAGGCCATCCACCAAGCGATAAACACCCAATGACACAAAGTGCTAAATGAGGATGAGGAAGAAGTCCAAGAAACCCCATTCAACCCATAGGTTGGGTTATATTAGGGCACATGGCAACAAATAGGGTGGGGTTTTAAAACAAAAAATTGCGTTGGACCTTTGTACGCTAAGTTATAATAAACCAAACATGACTCACTCCCAAATATAATCATACACAAAAATTATTATTACATTTTACTAATTTGTAATATTTTTAAAAAGTATTCATTAAATGTATGTTCCTAAGCAACAACATTAAAGATTAAAAATACACAGTAATTTAACCTTTTTAGCTTACAATAAATATTGGAAAACAACCAGTCAGATTTAAATATATAATCAAAATTCATGACATTATTTATTAGGAAAAAACTCTAATAGTAACAAAGGAGACTAGTACTAGCGCAGATAATATCAATCACACACTGGCATTAATAACAAGCACATAATTCTGTAAAGAGCAGTTACAGTTATGAAAAGAAACATGAAATAAGCTTAACAAAAACTTGAACATAATTTTTTTCTGCACAAACCTGCATGATTGCTAATAATGTTGAAACTACAGAAGATTGGTTGGCTCTGTGGCTAAGTCGATGCAAACACTTTGTAATGCCGGGTTGCCGGGTTCGATCCCAGCTGTGGGCCACGCACCTTGTGTTGGTTTTGACAGTGGTATCAGAGGGCCGACCGTCCAGGGGGCAATGGACATTAATTTGCCTAGAGAAACCACACAGGGGCTGCTGGGGTTGGTTTGCAACGTCCTGTAAAGGCTACGCAACTAACCTAACAGAAGATTGATACTACTGAATGAGCATTAAACCATGCAGCTGCGATGTTTGAGAAGGGATTTAGGAGTGATGAGAAGAGAATTAAAGTCTGTCCCCTTGTGCAATGTTATTTTTTCATTATTTGAAGCCTCAAGATGGATGTTGTCAGGGGCTCTAATATAACCCAACCTATGGTTTGAACAGGGTTGTTGGGACCTGTCCCCAGGGATCTTCATCCGAATGGTGGCATTTTTTGTGACCGGTTGTTTATCGCTCGGTGAGATTTCTTGGTGGGGTTAGAACATCAATCAATCAATCATAAGAGAAAAAAGACTACACAGAGCCAATTCTAAATTACAAACAAAAGCAGCAAATCAAATGGTTTGCCCACTAAGACAGAGTACCTTGGCAGCAAATCAAATGGTTTGCCCACTAAGACAGAGTGCCTTGTCAGCAAATCAAATGGTTTGCCCACTAAGACAGAGTGCCTTGGCAGCAAATCAAATGGTTTGCCCACTAAGACAGAGCCTTGTCAGCAAATCAAATGGTTTGCCCACTAAGACAGAGTGCCTTGTCAGCAAATCAAATGGTTTGCCCACTAAGACAGAGTGCCTTGTCAGCAAATCAAAGGGTTTGCCCACTAAGGCAGAGTGCCTTGTCAGCAAATCAAATGGTTTGCCCACTAAGACAGAGTGCCTTGTCAGCAAATCAAATGGTTTGCCCACTAAGACAGAGTGCCTTGTCAGCAAATCAAATGGTTTGCCCACTAAGACAGAGTGCCTTGTGATGCCACATAGTACAAGGCATACACAAAAAGAGGAGAAGAACGTAGAGCACAAGGTAGACCAAGAAGAAGATGACAAGAAAAGATTAGAGAAGCTTTACACCAGCACGATGTGTCTATGGTCGAAGGGGCCAGAAGATCAAGAAGCAAAACCTTATATCTTCCTCGACACCAGAAGGGGTAAAAGAGGAAGTGAAGCTGAAGAAGACCAATCAATTAATCAAGTGCCATCTCCACAATGAAAGTTGGTTGCAATGGATCTCCAGCATGCCCTATCTCAGGTCCTGGTTGTACACTTTCTCAGACACTGCTGTTTGTCCATCTCTTGATATTTTCCTCCCAGCTATCCCCTCCATTTTTCCTTCCAGTATAGTTTTTTATAACGTATTTCAATTCTATATATTAAAAAAAATTTCTTTCAATATTTCTCTTTTCATCTGAGAAGATAGCCACCAGCTTTTTGTCTTTAAATAATCCACACACACAAAATATTTAAGAAACAATAATGACAGTAAATACCCTCTAGATCAGGGAATCTCAGCTTGCTAAAACTGTAGGCCCCTCTTAATTTAGTAGGTCTTCTAGGGAATGCATACTTTTCTAATAGTCATACTGAAGAACTTATAAGCAATGCTGTATACACACAATAACTTTACCTTACTAGGGCTGCAGGTTCTATAACTAGATAATCTAACAAAACTAACAGCAGACTTGTTTGTCAACAAGAAGACTAAGCACACCTGAGTCATATTAGAGTGCACTGATTCTAATTAACAGCTGAGAGGAACACATGTAAGATACAAGTGCACTGATTCAAGGGCACAACTGAGTGCACTGATTCTAAGTAACAGCCAAATGCACTAGTGATTCTATGAATAAACAAGGGCTCTCACTCTAACTAATGAAGTATACTGGTTATAAGAGTATGGAATGGGTTGATTTTAAGTAATGATGAAAGGAAGAGTTGGTGATTTTAAATAACAATCGAGTGGGATGCTTACTAGTTACAGTAGATGGGAGAATTATTTTAACTCTGCCAGACTGCTGTGCCACTTTTCCAGGAATTTCCTAATCTGCCGCTAAACCGTTGTACCTAATTTTCGGTAAAAAAAATGTGTCTGCAAACTAAAAATAACCAACCAATCATGGTCAAACCTTGTGGTTAGTCATTGCAAATGGCTTGCCCCATGTCTATGGATTGACTTTGTGTGGTTTAATGTGAAATAATTATGAAAATTCACAATGAAGTGGCTGATGAACCAAGCAAAGTAGCTCTAGGCTTTTCACAGTCCAACAGGTGTTTGATACTTTAACTGATTCAGTCTCTGAGGAGTCAGAATTTCCAGTTTCCAGTTTAAGTGACACAGACTGTGAGAGCTCAAGTAATGAGGAGAATCTTGATCCTTATAGAACTAGAACAGGATCGATAGTAAGAGAAAGGGAGAGAAGGCCTGTCTCTCAAACAGCAAAGGGGCAGATCTAGGTGGTGATGAAGGCTGGATAAGGAACCAATATCCCCCAAATAGAGATCTGAATTTCAGTGATGAAAGGTAAGGTAAACCTAATTTCTACAATGTCTCCACGTTTCATCTTATTCTAACCACTTGTTAGCATGTAACTAAAATTTGTGTATATCATGTTGGTTTTTTGGCTGTTATGCCCAGGAGCCCAGGTATAGGGAGCAGTTAGGTTCAGGGCCTCAGCTCTGGTAGAGTTATCAATAGAGGAAGATTTTAATTAATAACAACAGAATGGGATGATTTTAAGCTTCGAGGGAGTGGGATGATTTTTATTAACAGCAGAATGGGATGCATTTAGGCAACAATGGAGTGGGGTAATTATAATTAAGAATGGAGTGTGGGATGATTTTAAGCAACAATGGAGTGGAATAATTTTTATTAAGAATGGGGTGAGATTTTAATTAAGAACACAGTGGGATGATTTTTAATTAAGTGAGAAGATTTTAATTAAGAACACAGTGGGATGATTTTTAATTAAGTGAGAAGATTTTAATTAAGAATAGAGTAGGAAGATTGTAATCAACAATGGAGTGGGATGCTTGTAATTAACAATGTAGTGGGCTGATACTAAGTAACAATGGAGTGGGGTCATTCTAAGTAATAAATAAATTAACCCATTCCAAGTAACAAGTAACAATAAGTTGAAATAATTGTTTACTTTGTACATGTGTACAACTCAGTTGCCTCAGGAAAAACCACAAAATTCTTTAGTAATGTTACTGGCTAGACTCTAAAGTAAGGGGACTCTTTGTTAGCAGTATGCTCACTTCTCTATGCAGTTGAAAAAGAAAAATCCTTTTCCTCACTTCGACACACTGGGCATATGACCAACGTTCACAGTGACCAACTGGCACTCGGTGGGTGATGTGATCATCATCAAGCTGGCTGCCTTTACTTCCCAGGACATATCCATCTTAGGCTGGGAGCCAAATACTTTTTTCCCCACAAATCCAGGCAAAGACCCAACCCCAAGACCTTCAGGCCTTTCCCTCATCTTAAAGGGTGGCCATATGACCAACATTCACACTGACCAAGGGTGTCCAGAGCCCACCGACACTCCCTGCTGCATCATTCTCTCCAAGTACGGGTTTTCAGGATCTTTTGCTTGTTACCTCCTCCCACAGGTGAGAGATCACCTCTGCCTTGTGTAGTTGCAGTGCCACCAAAACTGGCATAGGACGATT